GAGCAGTGGCCTGTCCCCGGGGCAGCCCCGGACCCCGCAGAGGCCCTGCTTGTCTCCACGCTTCGCTAGGCCTCAGCGCTCGCTACCAGAGCCACGGCGGTGGGTCTCCTTGTCCATGGTAGGCCCATGGTCCCGTCTTCATCGCCCCCAGGCGCGCACAGCCCTGCCAGGTCCCGGCAGAGCTTCCCCGTGGAGCCGCCCTCCCCTCCCTGCACCGCAGGGTTCGGCAGCAATTCCGCCTTTGCTGTCTCCCCTGGCAGCGTGGGGTGAATAATCCCTCCAGCGAGGCAGCCGCCGCTTCTGAAGTGTTGTGCTGGTGCCTCCGCACCCCCACGCGTGCCTGGGAGAGCACCGCATGTAAAAAGCTGCCTTACCACTGCTTCCACGGTGTAAAAATGGTTTTGCTTAAAAAAAATAACAAAAAGGGCTCCTATCAAAATGTTTGAAAGCCCACCCTGGGGCTTTTCTAAGGTAAGAATGTCTTTAGCGTTTAAAACTTCCTCTTTGGAAGAGGAAACTCTGGCAAAGATAAAACATGTGTCTCTGCAAGGGACTACTTTGGTTTAAAACGCCCTAAAAATAAAGTGCTCAAGTTTTTCCAGGCAAAAACTGCAATCCTGTCTAGAAAATGTACAACAGTATTTTAAAAGGTCTGAGAGGAAGAGGCGCACAGGAGCAAAACAGTGGTGTGCAGACAAGAGCTGGCAAGGAAGTGTGGAAGAAAAGCAGGCGAGGACAAGTCTCTGGAGGTCACCTCATCTGTCCCCCTGCCTGGAGGCAGGACCCGGCCCCAGCAGCTCAGCCGCCGAGAAACTACTCGGTAATTTCCTTTGCAGTTTGCAGCAGGAGTGTGTGCACAGGCCTGCGCACCCCCGGCCTCCCTCCCTCTCCTCCGTAATGCTCAGAGCGGGGCTGCACGGAGGAGTAACGCTGGAGTTACTCAAATCAGGGCTGTTTCTTTGCAGATAATGCAATTGATTTCCTCACTGAGCGCTGAAACAGAGTAAAAAGAAACCACAGGGAAATGCAGAGAAGTCTTCTGCCAACTATTGTTCTGTAAAAGCGGCAAGTACCCACAGAGTGAGGAAACTGGGCTTTTCCTTTCTGATTTGTTATTAGACCTTTTGGGACCTGCAGGAAAAGGGTTGATTTGTACACAAGCGCGTATAGAAATTATGAAATAGAGGAATCTGTGTCACGCTCTGCCCGGTCACGGCTGCTGTACACACACAAGTAGGTGTTTGGTTCCTCCTCGGCGCGGCTCACGCTGGCTGCGGGTTCCCCAGTTGGTGCTGCAGCACCAGGGGCAGGACGCTGCAGCCTCGCGCCTCCGGCTCCACCAAAGCCCTTGGAAGCACGTAAAAAAAAACGCCAATACCAATGAGGGACCAATCTGATATTTTCTTACTGTGAAAAAACTTACAAACTTTCCAGTGCTGAGAGCGGATTAGTAGCATTGAATAATGATAATACACATTTTATAAATACATAGTTAAGCATATCTGATGTGGTTTGCAGGAAATGGAGAAGAAAAGGTTCAACACTCAGAAAATCTTGGAGCAATAGTTAAAACCGGGATGAAACTGTGAAGAAGCAGATAAAGTAGCCCAATATTTTATGCAAATTAAAAAAACTGTTTCCTGACTGGAGGAGGGTATTTCAATTTTAAACTCTGGGTTTGAATTATTGAATAAACCTGGATTATTTTTTAATTCTACCTAATTTTGCCTGGTGCTGTGTGCTCCATCAGTGCACTGGTTGTGGCCTGGAGGAGCCAGGAGGCTCATCAGCCGTTTAAGAGACTGCAAATCTATTTTTGCCCTTCAAGAGGGAAGAGGAGAACCCAGCCCTGAGCTGGCGTCCCCGGCATTTTGATTAAATTAGAGACGCATTAACGTGAGCATTTCTGGTCCATGATGAGGGCAGACAAAGTGACCTTGATGCACGGAGCCATTTTCCCAGCGACAGCAAGGACAGTCGCCCTGGGATGCTGGAGGGGAGGAGCAGCACCGCCGGCCTGTTCCCTGGACTGGCAGCACTGCAAACGTTAAGAGACAAACACCGGCTTTAGTTGGTTTTTTTAGCTCCTTGTGCAGAGCCAGCGCAGGTTGGGTGCTTTGAAAAACAGCACTGTTAACCTTCCTGTGCTGCTTCAGGGGAATTTTAGTCCCAGCAGGACGAAAGGACTGGTGTTGCTCCTGTGACAGTGAACGGCAATTGCAGCTCTCCCTGGATTTGTCCCCAAAAGTGGGATTTCGGTCTCGCTTGGGTGTGTGTTGCTGCCGTTCCCTTGACACCGACGGAGTCACCCTGCGAAGCACAGTGAGAGCCAAATCGAGATCTCCCATGCTGTCTCCGCGCCCGCCCCAGTTCTGCAGCTCTCGGGAGGTTCCTCGTGCTCCAGATCTGCTCCCTCCTCCCTGCCCCATCCAGGGCACCCGCCGCAGCGTTATGTGGCCTCAGCACTGAGCAGCCCCTGCCTGATGCAGGCAGGGGTTGCTACCCTGCCCAAGGCGCTCTGCCATGGACTCAGCCCCGGGGACAACTCGACAGGTACTGTGGGGCTATGACTGAAACCAGTGCCGGGGAGTAACCCAGCAGGTAACTCAGCCAGCAGATTTCACAGGTTGTTGCAGCACTTTATTAAGCAATGCAACACAATGCGTGTGATTTATGGCACTAGAGCAAACCGTCCTGCAGCAGCGGCACCGACGCAGCCCCTGGCTGCAGAGTTGACTTCACGCCAGTCCTGTGCCGAGTTTTAGAGCCCAGCATCCGTCCGTGCTGTTCCCAGTCACCTGGAGCTGTCTGTGAGCAGGAGCTGTGCCTGTGCTGACCTAATATGGGGAAAGCGCCGGCGCTTTGTCAGGGACTACAAATAACCACCCAGAGCCACGCGCCCCTCGGAGCGGAGCCCGTGTCTTCACACACGCGGGCTGCTCTGGGCAGTCATCGTTAAATCATAAATCACGAGAGGCTGGAGGGATCCCGGGGATCATCTCAGCTGCTGAATCTGTCACGCCTGACGGATGTTTTTCTCACCCATTTCCTCAAACTGCCGGTGATAGAAATTATGGTACCAAACATCACATAAATGAAAATATTTATTTCTGGAAAGAGTCCCCCGTCCAGCAGCACATCAGTGTTTCACGGTCTTTGGGGTCCCCACTGAGCAGCACTTACTGCCTTGTGTTTGGAGGGACCTTTTTCCAGCCCCCTGCACTCACGGCCCTTTTCTGCACCTCACAGCAGTTTGGCGTTTGCCCAGAGCCACGCGGCAGCCACGTCTGAACCTGCCCGGCTGCCCTGGCACCCGTCTGGGAGCCAAGGGCTCAGCTCTGATGGGGATCCCAAAGCCCCGAGCAGCCCTGTGCCCTCGGGGTGCTGCGGAGGGGAACTCCTGGGGGAAGAGTGGGGTGGGAAGGGCAGCGGGCAGGACTGGCTGGGCCCCCCAGCACCTTGAGGCAGCACCGATCGTCTCGTGGTCTGCTCTCAGAGCTGTGGCTTACGCAGGCTCCGCAGCAGCAGGGCCGGAGGAGGAACAAAACCATCCACGTAGCCCAGAAACATTTGTTCTGCGATTCGGCACCACATTCCTGCTGCTGAGACGAAGGGAAGCGCCCTGGACCGCCCCTCCCTGCACAGGCAGCAGCTGGAGGGGTGGTGGGGGCGAGCACGGCTGCTGCCACGGGCCGCCAGCACTAACCAAACCACCCTGCCGGAAGAGCCGCCGCCTCTCTCTTTGTTTTTCTTGGGATTGCGGGGAAAGAGGGAATGTGAGGCTGGACTGAAGCCGGGGTCCCCCGGGCCTCCAGCCCGCAGCTCCAGCCCCTTCCCGATCGGCCCTGACTCTCGCTGGCCCCAGCAAGTCTGTCCCGCGCCGCCGCGCACAGGCCCATCGCCAGCCTTGGACCCTGAAGTAAGGACTGAAATACTGAAGCTGGTGCTGAATTTGGGAATGGGCAGTCCCAAAGCCCACAGGGGAAAAAAAAAAACCTTCCCTTCTCTCTTACTACTTTCCCTGAGGGAGTTGCTTATCCAGCTTTGCAGTTTGAAAAAGAAGCCCTGACGCAATCACACCGTTGCCATGGCAAGAAGCGTTGCTGCTGCATTTCCCTCTGTGAGTTCCTGTGACCAGGATTTACCAAGGCGTAGGACAAAGCCAGCGTGAGAGGAGGGATCAGATCCACGGCAAGGCTTGCGAAAAGCCGCGTGAAATCTGAGTTGGCCCATGTTGCCGTAAGGCAGCGGCGGGGTCACGGCACACGGGGATCCCCAAACCTGCGGACTGGGACACAAGTTCGGTTCCCAGCCCTTCCTGGAGAGAGCTCAGCCTCTGCCAGTCCCAGCTTTAGCTCCATCTCATCATCATCCCCTTGCAACGAGTGAGCACCTTGTCCCCAGGGCCCCAGTTCTGCACTGCCCTGTCCCTGCCCCGCCAGCGAGGAGTGAATTCAGGGCTGGGCATGGCGTGGTCGCCCCGGTTTGGAGCAGCGCACGCTTCACACGGGGGTAGGGCCCTGCCGGGGCTGGAAGAGGCTGAGGCGTTGCCTGCCAGAGCTACAGCCCTGCCCGCTGCTCGTCCAGAGCTCACCAGTTCGGGGCTGGTGGTGGGGAAGGCAGAGCCTACGCCGAGGGGCCACGGGGATTCGCCTCCTAGAGCTGCCAGGGTGCAGCGGAACCACTGCTCGTCTCAGAGCCACCCCGAGGGGCATAGCCCCTTCCCCTTGCACCAGGAGCCCCGGGAGGAGGAA